CACAGTTATTACAAACCGAGTTGGTAGATAAAAGCGAAAGCAAATTAAGTTTAAAAGTAAAGTTTCCAACATAGTTTAATACAGTGCCAAAATACAATCACGGTCCACAAAAGCACGTAGAAGGATTAATAAGAAGCCTACCCAAGGCTTACTCCTCATCCACAGCGGGATAGAAGCAACTCTTGCAATAATCATGATACACAGTTCCATCTGCAACAATGGAAAATAAAACCCTGAGTACGAGAAGGTACTCAGCTAGACTTACCCGTCATAAACCAGAAATAATTCGACTCCAAGGATTATGCAAGACTGTATAAGTGGGGCTAGCTCGACAACGTTTTGCATAAAAGCGATTGACTCAGTTATATAATTATGATTCCTTTAACAAGTTAATTATATCTATCCATCTCTAGATTAGCAACTATCCTGTGCCAAACATGTGGTATATCATTTTAAAAGCATACAATAGTAACCATAGCAGGTATTGTAATTTCATATTCGTTCGAACCATCATGTTCCATAATACAATTACTACGATGCTGGAGCTAGCCAAGTTTCTCACTATTCGGGAGAGACGGCGATTCGAATCGATTTCAACCAGCTGGGAATTTATTCCTAACACAAACTCAGGCATACCGAGCGAAGGCAGCCTTAGGTCACCTTTGGTACAACTCAGGTACACATTTCGCGGGTCTGTACCGCGCCGCACAATCTGGGACACCAGATGCCAGGACGTTCAGGCCTAGCCTGCCCTTGGGCTCAGTCTGATCGCCCCCCGCAAGGAGCGCACAACAGAACGGGGCCCGGCCTAAGTTGAGATACTTGGCTTCGCAGTCGGAATGAGTTATCCGGCCAGCTAAGTGATAGACATGCGTTCAATCTTGTCAGAAGGTCCAACAATGGTACAGTCCTTAATCGGCACAGACGGAATCACATGAGTCATCCTACCATAGACTCCGTCCGGCCTCGATTTGCTTTTTAACCCATAGTTCTTTTCCACGATAGCAAATATAGCCAACCGTGCTTTAGTATCCACTTATATCTCGCAAGTGACAGAAAATCACCTGACTTCTACCGGTCTAAGCATGGCTAAGCATATATTCGATCCTGGACCTATACAGCGTGAAAGGTGTATATATCTGGACAAGGTAGTTCCATGCATCAAGTGTTCCATTCAACTCTTATAACCTAATACATCAATCATAAGTACTTAAGTAAGCATTTATAAAATATTGGGAGACTTATAATGCTCTAGGGCTTGCCTCTCAGAAAGGAAGTGGGACGGTGGTCAGGGCACTCCGGAAGCTCTTCAGGATTCTGCTCCTCACCTTCAGGAGCTGCGGCTTGAGGATTCTCCTGCTGGTCCCCTTCCTCTCCTTCGTCGCACTCCAGCAACGTTATCTCCTCTGTCGATCCTAGATGCATGAATATGGCATAAGATGTTGCGAATGCATACATGCTGACAATTATAGTATGATGATATATGATGAATGCATTCTTGTAAGTATTCTTAATAGCATGTGGTTTAAGTAACAACAAGTGCATCGCGTTTACTGAGTAGGTGCATATCTCTTCTTGATTATGTAATTAACTACTTCAACAATGCATCTACTATTTCACAAACAACAGCTACTTGTTTTACTCATAACTGGAGTTCTAATTATCCAAATGCAGTGATCCTGGACTTTATGGAAAGCTTACAAAATTATCTACAACTCTTATTTAACTCACAAAAGCTAATTCACAACTTATTTTAGCCAAAACAGACAATCATATCAGTGCTGTCCAGAAATTCCAGAGAGCAAGCAATTCGGAAATGCTAACTATAAACAGCTATAACTCCTAAACTGTTTGACCTATGGTCCTGAAATTTTAACACAAGACATATGATGAAGTTATCTACAACTTTGTTATTAACCATTTTTACAGCAAACAACATTTTTATCATGCAACTTATCAAACTACAGAATCTGTTCGAAAATTATTCCAATTCGCATTATGAAGCAACAATACTTCTACTTCATATAAGTATTCAAATTTTTTACAACACAAAGCCTACCAACAGTTCAAGCATACCAAAAACATTCAAGAACACATAATGGTGAAGCCCAAACTATTTATTTAAATACCTTTATTATTTTATTTAGATACTTAGGTTAAATAATAAACATATACTAAATGTACATCACAAATTCTCAGAAATTTACAGTGGCTTACTAGTGCTACCAATAGACTACGGTAAACGTTTCATGCCATTTTACCCAGTAAAACATTCTATGCAAAAATGACAAGGCATAAAGGCTTAAAATAGCATAAATAAAAAACCCTATTGAAAAGTGTCAAGCAATAGATTTCATATTTTTATTAGCATCCAAATGGTACTAGTATATCCTGCAACAAATTTCATTAATATTGGATTCATAAATAATTTATAAAATTTCATACAAAGATTACCTATTTATAAAAGAAAAATCTATAACTATAAATTTATACATGCACTGATCTTCAAATTTTTACCAGAGCTCATACATGTCAAGAATAGATTACCACAAAAATTTCATAATTTTTGGAGCACAGGAACTCTAGATATAAAATAAACAAGTTTACATACAGTTAAAAACACCTTTTACATTTTATTTTAAATATTCCAGAAATTCTACTACAAATGCTAGTATCATATTTTTCATAAATACTACACTTCCTAAGGAATACTACAAAATTTATTTCACAAATTTATGATCTACACAGCTCCACTTATAAATTTTCAAAGTTGCACATAACACAGGAAACAAATACACTATCTTTCTGCCCTATAGTCACTGGCAACTGGGGTCCACCGGTCAGTTGACCCCGCGTCAGTGACACGAAACAGAGCAAGCGGCGCTGCGCGACGGTTGCGCGGCCAGAGCTCAACGGCGACGAGTTCGCCAGCGGTGACATCTACACGGGACGACCCTTATGACCTAACGCATCGATTGCACTACTTGGTTGGTCGCCGCCGTCGTCGCACAATATTTGCACATCTAGGTTTAGGCACGCAAATCAAGACTGGCGTAAAATGACGCTGCTATCCCTAGAAACATCCATCTGACGTGATTTTTTTTTCACAGTCGAGCTGATCCGAGGCACCGGTGTGACCGTGTGATCGAGCTCACCGTCACTCAGCAGTAACTGTCGTAACAGATAGCTTTTCTTTTGCCAAAAAGTGTTTGTGTTTAGCCAATCGCCACCTCGATGAAAAAATGACAGTACAGTCTGGGGACAACCTTTTTTGGCGGGCGGTACGAAAACGAGGTGGATTTGGACTTGGGGCTGGGGTTAATATTCTGTGACATCAGGCCTCGGCTTGTGTACCGTGTCCGTACATACGTACTAGCAAAGACAGATCACATTCCCGGTTACACCAAATTAAAGAAAATGCTATTAGTACTAAGGCTGTGTTTAGTTCGAGGAAAAGTTGGAATTTGGGTACTGTAGCACTTTCGTTTTTATTTGGCAAATAGTGTTCAATCATGGACTAATTAGGCTCAAAACGTTCGTCTCACGATCTCCAACCAAACTGTGCAATTAGTTTTTTTTCGTCTACATTTACTGCTCCATGCACGTATCGCAAGATTCGATGTGACGGATACTGTAGCACTTTTTTGGAAGTATTTTTGGAACTGAACACGCGCTAAACAATCGACAATCGACATGGCCGATAATAAAAGAACAAGTAACTTCGGTAGTAAACTAGCACTATCGATGGATGAGGCGCGTTCCTTCCGCGTTAACCATACCTTTGGAGTGCCCACGAAACAAAGTTGTTTGGAAGGAAACTGCACAAAGCAACCTAGGAGGGTTAACCATACCTTTGTTTGGCTTCTGATCTATAGGAGGGTGCAATGTCGAGTGAATCTTTGCCGTAAGACCGTTGTAGATAGCCCAGTCTGTGAAATTTGCAACCAAGAAGAGGAAACAGGTGAACACATTGTCTTTGACTGCTCGTTTGCTCAAGAATTCTGGCAGCGGCTTGTGTTCCAAACTAATCAACCGTCTTCTAATGGACGTATATGATCAGCGTCCAATGCCCTCCAAGCTTCCCAAAACATCATTTCAGTACTTTTATGGCCTATGTTATTGGCATATATGGAACGGCGTCGTGTTTAGAGACGAGGCGGCCACACTACGGCAGACATTTTATTGATAAAAGCTGATGCTAAGATACGGGGGATGCGGTTGCCAAAGAAAGACAGAGCTGTAGCAGATGCATAGTGTCTATACTTAGTACATCTATGTAATTGAGATCACGAACTCTGATGATGTATCTTTAACCTTGATGGGCACCCTTCAAGGGGCCTAGATCAATCGATGAAATAAAGAAATTCAGGTCGGGCAACATGTGTGCGGAGCCAAAGGAATCATGGACCACGCACCGTCCGAGGCACACCAGCCATTACGAACAAACGCCGCCTGGCCACGACGAGAGCCCGGCAAATCCAAGCCAACTGCGATATCAAGCCAGTCTGCCAGTGGGCAAGCAGAGCCAGGCCAAACCGAGCCCCCCGGTCCAATTTTCCACTCGCGCGTGTGCCCCGGCGCTCTATAAAACAGCCGGGTCCCCTCCGGGTTCACCTCCTTCCTCTCAGGCGGCAGGCCCTCACCCTCACGACGTCTCGTCTCGTCTCCTGCGCGCTTCCGTTGCAGCTCCGCACCACACCATTAACGCCCTGCGTCTGCTCTGCTCAACGAAGGAGAGATCTTTCCGCGGTCTCTTCCAATCCTCCTCGCCATGCTAAGGAGGTCCCGCCACGGCGGGGTCCGTCTCGGCCGGAAGCTGCTCGGCCTGTGTCGGTGGGCGCTCTGCGGCCGGCGCCGGCGCCGGGGAGGCTACCGCCGTCTGCAGCAGCAGCCCAGCACGCCCAGAGCCCGCCGCGAGGAAGCTCGCGCCGGTGCTGCGGTGGGGCCGGTCGCTGGCGCGGCGTCTGAGGCTCCTCGGGTGGAGGGCCGGCGGGCACCGGATGCTGGGCGACGGCCGCGAGCAGGTGGTGACCACGCCCAAGGGGCAGGTGGCCGTGTACGTCGGCGGCGGCGAGGAGGCGTCGCAGTCGCTGCGGTACGTGGTCCCCGTGGTGTACTTCAACCACCCCATGTTCGGCGAGCTGCTCAGGGAGGCCGAGGAGGAGTTCGGGTTCCAGCACCCCGGCGTCATCACCATCCCTGCCCCGCCGCGCGGTTCGAGGCAGGCCGCGGCCCCTGGCCGCCGCGGGGAAGAAGGTCTTCAGCAGGTGGTAGGCGGGCACTAGTCGTTAGGGGGGGGACAGAGGGAAGGCCCCTGACCACCACCGCCGCCCGGCCGGCGGCGGAGGGAGGCGGATGGTGTACATATGGGTGTTTCCATCAGAACGGGGCTGCCTGAGCCTAGCTGATTTTGTTCTTTCCATTCTTGGTCCTGTTTAACTGATGCATCCCATCCGCTACTCTTCTTCGTTCGTCGATGCCTATATTCTTGTCCCGAATACGCCGATTCATCTTCAAACCGCTGGAATTTCCCCTGTATGCGATGCGCTTCCTCGCGGATCATCCAACTGTCGCTGACCGAGTGTGATGAATCCTCCACGTTTTGCCAATCCCAGTAGTACTGGAGTATTACGAGAGCAAATGCTGTGTCTTTTTGTGTGCCTCGTTTGACCGCAAACTTCTCATGAAGCCGATGTCTACTCTCTTCGATTTCGTCTCATGCCTACTGCCTCTGCTGCATAGTGAATACGCCAGAATCAGATGCCCGGAAAAGTGTGCCATCCAGATTTCAGCGTGCTCGGGCGGTGAAAACGGTGCGCCAACCACTGCACGAACCGTACCGTACCCCACGCCGGAATCAGGATGGATCGAGTCGGGCAGTTGGAGCACGCCGTTTCGGCCGCGCTCCGCTTTTGCACGCAGCACGCCAGCGGGGGGCTGGCTGGCCTCGCTAGGCGTCACTGTCCCTGTCCCTGTCCTGCTCGCGAGGAAGCGTGCGTGCGTGGTGACTGGTAATAAGCTCCGTCGTGTGCCCGGCGAGTACAGTGCACCGCCCTGGCCCCTGGCGCTGGCAGCAGGGAGCAGGACGAGATTTCCTGGCGCCTGGTCGACGGGGACGCGCGGCGGCTGCTGTGCACTACCAGAATTCTACAGCAACAATCACGGGATCGTACAAGGAGGCCGCTGTCCGTTCACGGGGCAAACGCGCCGCTGACGGCTCGGGCGCGCAGGCAAGGCAAGGCAGATACATCCCGGTCCCGGCAGGCGGCAGCAAAGAACGGGCGCGCTCACCGTTCCGGCGTGGGGGCTGCACGGACGCAATCATGCGGCCGCGCACCACCACGACACGCAAGCGCAGGCCAGCCTCCAGCCTCCAGCCTCCAGCCTCCAGAGTCCAACCGGAGAGAGAGATAGAGAAAAGAAGATAGAGCCGCGACATCTCCCCGGCTTTGCCAAAAAGTTGTGATCGCCGTTTCGCGCGGCGCGCGTGGTGCACTGGCGTGGCGTCCATCACGTCCCTTTTCGTCTTTCCCCGGCCGATCTCGCTCCTCCGCCTGGGGCCCAGGATTGGCGCTCCGCCGGGCCGGACCACGGGCATATCAGCGTTCACACACGCCCGGCCCGCCGGGTCTTTCATCAGAGGGAAAAAAAAACGATATCCTGCTGCTATGCATTTTGTTAGGCGATCAAGAAAGCCGAACTATTCCTAGAAAATCTGCCGTCCATCTTTCGGAAAAAGGAAGATATACGTCGTCTTTGCAGGGCGTACGGCTCCATCGCGTCCCTTTTCAATTCCACCACCTCCGTCATGCTTGACTGTAAGCCAGAAGAGCGCAGCACGGTTGGACAAGTGAGCATACAAAGCAGCAGCTCATCACTGCTTAGATCCCGATGTCAGGGAAGGGTCACGGCAGGTACGAAAAAAATGGAGAGTTTCGTTACGGCCTATGCTATGCGTCATGGCAGATTGACATAGTTGAGCTGGATGATGATATATATGACTATATCTATATCTGGACTGGGTTAGCGTTGGTTATGTGGTGCTATCCAGATCGAGACTGTATCGTTTCTGCAACTCTAGGACGACAAGAACAGGACGACGCGGTGTCCGTACTCGTTGCGGATCGAGTCAAAACACTCCGTTTTCATGTGGTGGTAATGCAAGCTTGGAGTACTTTATTTTGACCTCGACATAGCTAGCTCCGGTAAATGTCAGAAAGAAATGGAAGACAAAGCATAGATAGACCCGGCACCCGGATGCGTGACGACCGGATAGTATCGTCCTGTTTCGTTTGGGCTTGTTTGGTTTATAAGCCATACTTTTTTAGCCAACAAATAGTATTTTTCTCTCACACCAAATCAACCAACAGTACTTTCAGACATGACTTATCAGCCAATCAAGCCCAAACTAGCTGCAGGGTACGGTTCAGTCTGATGCGACGTGCAGGGATGGCCCAGCCAAGAACTACTGTTTCAGATTGATGAGTAGTATATAAGCGCAAACTGTACTCTCTGGGGGTGCAAACCGAACTCAGAGGGAATATTTAGGCAGTATCACACGATATCGTTTATGGAAAAAGACGAGAGCAATCAACTAGGAGAAACAAGATGATGTTGTTTTGTCGTGTCCGCCTGATAATGGGCTGTGATCCGGCCCCAACCCCACTCCAATCCTATGTGATTAATTATTACACCCAGCCCGATCCTAGCACCTACTGATTTGTTTCAGCTCGGTTCAATTCAATCCTACACGTCGCACCATCCTAATCCAGCCCCAGCCCTTTTTGAATCCTCGGGCCGGATCCTAAATGCAATCTGAGGGCTCTCACAAGCAAGCACATGTACAGTAATGCAATGAGTACAAGGCCCTGATTAACCAAATCACGAGCACGGCCACTAGCACTGATATGTTAATTTAATTTAAAAAGATGAAAAATAATAAAAAATAACATGTAGCCGGATCCAAGTTTCTCCATCCATCTGCTACATATGTCCGTGCAAATTGATTTAATTCAAGAAAATAAGAAATAATGTCATGCAAATATGTATTGTCCTTCTCTGAATGACATTGTCCTTCTCTGAATGACATAAGTCACAATTTCTCACTAACAATGCCATTGTAAGGCTGCCAGCTGCATCTTGTAGAACTACCAGTTTTCTTCCAAAATAATTTGATCCTTGCACCTGAAACATAGCAACACTGAAAATCTTATTTCAAAATCTAAAATGCAAGAAACATGTAAAGCATGAACAGAAGTACTCATGCCTATCTTTGTACTAAGAAGACTATTGCCTATCTAAAGTAGCAGCAGCTATTGCCATATAGGAGAGTAGTAGAAGCAGCAGTTGTTGCAAATGACAGGAAATGAGTACAAGCACTTAAGCAATAGAAAAACAGCAAGACATGATAACTTAACTGAAAAAACAGCAACCACCACACCTCACCATAACCAGCCCCACACATTAAGACAACACACATTTGGACATTTTCAGCACACATTAGGCATTGTGTTGTCAAAGCGGCACAGAAGCAGAACGGCAAAGCATGAATTAATTAATCACTAATTAACCGGTTACACACAGCTGCCTCCCAAGAAATAAACCTAAGTGAGCAAGTACATATATGAGCTGAAACACATGCATATATTTTTAATCGGCAAGAGCAAATAAGGATCAGCACAGAGATTAACTCAAAACTTCCAAAAGTACCGCTGATATGCTAGTGACCAAATGAGATCAATACAGTACATATATGCATGCATACCGAGACATCACATGAGCTAGCTAAAAAGGCTAGACGTTGCTCAGTTCAGTAAATAAGCACTTAAGACAAAACATGCAATAATTATTTAACTAGTGATCATTGTGTCATGGAAATGACAATGCATACAAATGAGTTCATGCACTGCAGTTCCTCTCACTCGAACTGCACCAGGCAAACCTGAAACCAGAGCAAAGCTATGCACTGACGTGCTGCAAAATTCAGACAACACAATGCCTAACTGCTGAATGGAGCTACAAAAGAACAGAGCTTGCATGTACTGAATATATAGAGCAGGAAAATGACATGGAGCTGGTTTTGAAGTTAACATGGCTATAATCACAATTAATTGTGTAGATCATGAAAATATGTAATAACAGTTTTAGTAGCCTACAATCCAAATTAAGAATGAAAGCAAGCATTATGCTCTACCTTAAAAAATTTCATATCACGGTACTAGTGTCGAACTTAAGAAAAAATCATGTTCTTTACCAACTTGGACAGGACACACATGTTGCTAGTGGAGGACATTTAGCAGTAGCATTGTTGAAGTAACATATGTAGAAGAATAGCTAAAGTAAAATCAAAGCATTTCTGAATATAGGTACATTTTACTATTACAGTTCACAATCAAAGCATTGCTGACTACTGAAGCAATTAAACAATGATGGCAACTTTAGAATGCTGATGGTAAATAATAGGATAGGAAACAACGATATCAGCTAGTAGTTGAAAACAACTCATTCAGAGCCACACGGCAATTCAACTATATCTAAGACCTCATCAGTAAGAAAATGCCAGCTAGATACAACTACTCTAGTACTCTCAACTCTGCATATTCCAGATGAGTAAACAACTCCATAGCAGTAGTTGAAAACGACCGGAGCTTGCAATACTTGCACACAGCCTTCTCAATTCCATCAACGATTTCCGAGTCAACATAAGCCCAAACTTTAGCCCTCTTTTTCCCTGACCGGCCTGACTGATCAGTGGAGATAGCATCAAGACTATCCTCAACTTCTGCTGCTGTTGCTGATCAAACCCTCTCCATAATATCAAACACTCAGACTAATCAATTAGAGTCCCCTGAACCAATGAATGGCAATCAATTAGATAGGATACTAAAGTAAGACGCAAAGAAGCTGAATTTCACAAAAAATTATAAGCCTAATTTGTTTTCATGATAATAGTACAGCTGACTGCAAAATGTTTGTAAATTTGTTTTCATGATTTACAAACAAATTTACAATGGAGCCACTTCTCTTTGCATAACGTAGCATTGTTGCAACAGATTGGTCATCAAGAATATAATCAAGACCATTTTCAAGGTCAAAGAAGGGAATTCTATAAAAAAAATTCATCTCCATTTTGAAACCCTACTTCTTTGCCCATATCTACTATGTCAAAAAATGATGTTCTCTCAGTCAATTTTTCTAAAAATGCTCACTTGGCCACCATCATAAGAAAGTGGGCCTTCTTCTGAAAATGAACCCCCATCATGAATTTTAACCGTGATGAAATCAC